AAATCATGTGATCAGTAGGCTAAGCATAGACACCAGTAGTATATGGGAGTCACTAATCAGTAAAGAAATGGTAGATTTGAGATTTACGAGGGAATATACATGCTCCATTACAAGTTAGAATTTAAATAAAACTGACATCCAAGGAAAGGCTGGCATGCACAGTGGCTGAAATATAATAAGCAGTGCAAAACAAGATAATTTGTCTAATGTAATTTTTTAAATTTAACAATTAAGTTTTAGTTGGCATAATTTCAATGCTGATGAATCTACTAGAAATTATCATGATCCTTGTAACACCCAACAAACATGAAAGTGGACAATTTCTCAAACTAAGTCAACAAGCTGATTCAGCTTTCAGAATAAAAACAATAAAGACAATGAGGGAGGGCTAACTGTAGATTCTAAGCTGGGGACATTGTGACAAGCAATGACTACCTTCATTATAAGGTATTATTACAAGTCAGTCAAGTGAAATTTGCACTTAACCTTACTGCTGTAGAGATAGAATAAACCAACCTTTTTTTTTTCCAAATTTACTTTTCTTCCTTCCCAGCATGCTTTGCTGTTTTTGACAGGAAGGCCAGCTGCTTTGAAATGAAGCAGTGTTAAGGTATTGCCATACTTCCTATGGAAAATGAAAGACTATACCAGGTAATTAAATTTTGATTTCTGTTAACTTTCCTGCTTTTTTTTGTAAGTATTTTTATACACTTGCATATATTAAGTGTGTGCAAAAGTTACCAGCTTCTTTAAGCTAAAAACTAAATACACAGTGCCAAACTTTAATGTAAAGTTTTGTTTTACAAAAAAAAAAACACATCATAGTTACTGTAACTTTATAATTGAATTTATCTCTTTCAATGTTAACTTGTCAAAATGCTGTTCCGGATTTGATGTTGTTTGATTTCTTTATTCCAACTATTAAGTCTTATTTACGACTCTGCTTATTAGTTTAATTGCTCTTAATTTTAATTTTTATCCATTCAGTATATCAGGTTCCTTATTAAAAAAGTAACTTCTGCCAAATTGTAAAAAAATATAGAACCTTCTTTGCATTTGAGAAGAAACCACAGTTGGTTTGTATGTTTATTAAGCTTCTTCAAAATTTTGAGCCTTTTATTTTCTTTACTCATTTCACTTGCAACATTAACAATCTAGGATTTAAAATCTGTGCTTATCATGCACATTAACAGGGTATAATTCATAATGGGTGAATTTCCAGAGATGGAAAGAGGATATTAATTTAAAAAAACAACTTTTCTTTATATAAGTTTCATGGACCCTTTAGCACATTGGGTACTGTAAGTAATCTCATAGAATCTACAAATATGTTTTGGCTTTAAATAACCCAAAAAGGGTTGATAAGCTGTTAAAAATAATCCAAAACAAATGTTTCATTTAGCCAATTAAAAGTGATACTGAAAAATATTTCTTGCAGGTGTGTATGGATTGTTTACATTATATATTTATTTGTCTTTCAAAGAATTGATATTTGGTAAATTTTTTGTTTGAGTTTTTATTTTTTTATTTTAAAGTTTTATGTTTAAAATAAAAACAAATTCTTATTAAAAAGTCATTAAATTATTGAACAGCTTTTGTCTTTTGGTTTCTGCTCATGAAAGAAATTTTTGTTGTTTTTTTTTTTATTTTTTGTAGCAGTAACTTCTCTTTATTTGTATCTGTCTGGAATTTTCTAAATTTAAGGGTACATAAAACAAATTAATACATTGAAATTTTTTTTTTGCTTTAATATCTATAGATCCTTACAAAAATGTTACCATTGAATGTCTGGTGTTTTAGATGCTCCTGAGTATCCAAGTTTTACAGATTCTTAAATTATCAACAGAATTTTAAAAGAATCATCTTGAATAATGCCTACAAACTAACCATAACTTTAAAAACTTTTTTAAATTTTAAGTTTTGTCAAATATTTTGAATTCTGTCTGGAAGCTAGAATGAAGCTTTACCATCCATTTTTTTTTTTTTTTTTTTTTTTTTTGCTTTGTTATACTTTTCATATAATACCATTTTTATTTGCTTAAGAAATATATCTAAATAATATAGGTCACTTTTTTGGAATATTCATTTACATTTTCAATTGTTTTTTTTTTTTTTTTTTTTTTTTTTTCTCTCTCATGGTTACCTCATTTGTTATTTAAAACTGAATGATTTTCCTCTATGATCAACTGATATTGTCCACTACAACAAATTCCAATAAAGTATAGAAATTAACTGCAGTACTAACTAGCCATTTTGTAAATGAGATAAGTTTGAATATAGCCTATAAAGAATTATATACAAACAAGTAATAATCATAAGTAATTTCATTTTTTAATGTTCATGTGTTGGTTGAATAATTTAAAATCTTTATAGTATTAAAAGCATGGACAGTTATTATCTGTACTGCTTTGTATTGGTTATAAATCTGCATCATTTTATATAGTCACCTCACATCCCAATGCTGATTGAATAAGTGTTCTATGACTAGAATATTTAAGTTTTTAACATTTCTCTATGTTTCAGAAAATAAAAGCTGTTTTCTACAATCAGCCTCAAAGTAAATTTTATAACTAAAATCACCAGAGACCACACAAAACTGATAACACAATGTATCCTGAAAAACTGTAAAAAGGACAAACAAATGTAGCTAACACTGTTGTGTGTTTTAAGAATTAAATACTGAATTGCAACTTTCTCAGTAAATTTGGAGTGAGCATCATATTTTAATGAATTTCAGTTTTATGATTTATTCAAAGTTTAGCCTTTTTACTGCTATATGACATCTAATTTTTAAATAAGTGGATCATAAAAAGAAAGTGATTTATTTTTTAAAAATAAAATTTGATTGATTTTGTTTGTTTAAAATAAAATGATTCAGTTTTGTTATCTATTGCTACTTTTTCCTTTGTGCCTCCTTTGCTAAAATGTTTTTATTCATTGGATGGCAACAGTAAGAGCAATTCTAACTTCATGCTAAATCATCACTTTTGGTTCTATTGTAACAACTGTGATATCAGCAGGCATGTTTTACATATTGTCTTAGTTTTGTTTATTGAATCTAACATTGAAGATTGCAGTAAATAAGTGATTTTTTCTTATTTAAAACAAATTAAAAATATCACGGAAAAAAAAATGTCATTTTTACAAGTGATAATTCCAGAATAGGCCAGGAATAACACAGATTAAAAAGTGCAAAGAAACCAATAACTAATACTATCATATTTTAAACTGACCAGGTTTTTTTTTAAGTATTTGTACAAACATTAATTCATTAATTCTACTATTTATTAAGTTTAGTTCCATACAAGGCCTTTAAGAAAAAAATGGGGTAATGGTTCTTACAATTGTTAGTTTGAGTTTTGATGGGTTACCCCAGCCTGTCCCTTAATCATTCTTTTTGTAGCACAGTGGAATTTATTTACTGATTCTCTATATAAATTTATGTAAAGAAAAATTAAACATATTACAAATCAGATCATCATATTTTATCAAACCTTTATTACAGTGTGTTGATGTAGGTCTTATTCAGCCACTTGATTTATTAATTTTGTGAGCAATATCTATTAAACAAATAATTATTCACAGCAAAGAGAGCAAATCTACTTGAGCAAATAGTGTTGTGTGGTAATAAAAGTATAGATTGCAAACAATGGAAATCTTATCATAGCCATCTGAAAACACATTTTGAATTTTTTAAAAATATATTAATTAGAAAGGTGCCAGTGTACTATTTTAATTATCTTATGTATAGAAAAAATGTAATCTGGTCAAGTTCATCATATGTCAAGATATGCAAATACGTTTTTCTGATAGTGAGAAAAGAATTATGCTTTATTATCAAATCTCTAGATAAACATTCAAATTAAAATAATGATACAATGATAAAATATTGCACAAATTCATGACCAAAAAAATTGGTTGATCAGCTGAAATGATTTATCAAGGGCAAGAAAAAAATTTGTATTTTTACAATAGCCAAAATGATTTATTAGCATAATAAAAGGGGTCATTTAAACAAAACTATTTGGATCTGGTATGTTTTGCAATAGAAAATTTGTTCAGCAACAACTTGGGAGATAAGGTAGTGTGGCAGAGAATTAAATAATAAAGCATTTTAGTTATTTTTAAGTAAATAACCAATAAAAGGAGGATCTTATCAAATTGTCTTGAGTGACATTTTTACAAGTTGTCTCTTGGAATGTATAGAACTTTTAATCATGATGAGAATGAAGAAAAAAAAAAAAAATTATCTCATTCAGATAATGAAATACCAGCAAATTGATTTTTCAACAGAATTTATTCATTTCTATTCCCAACTTGATTCTGTCAGCTCATGTGAGGAATAGTCTTACTATTATATTTGTTTTTTATATAATTACTAGCAGCATGGCCCGGCATTGCCAGTGCTTGATTCAAAAATCGTACGACTCATACAGCAATCGCTATCACTTGACTTAAAATATTTTTGCCCTTCGTTGACTTTAAAGGAGTGCCCTTTTCCGTGCTTATGTTGCTACATGCCTATCTCACACTGCAAATTTTTTCTAAGCTCTATACTAAACATTAAATCTGTTATGAAAAAAGAACTAAACAAAATGAACAGAAAACAATCAGCTTTAAAAAAGGACTCGTAGCTGAAAAAAAACGAATGAAAAAAGAATGTTAACAACAAATTACTTTTTCATCTTTGCCTGCATAGACACAGGGTACTCAGATACACATTTTTTTAGATATTCCAATGGGTGTCCATCTGACCACTTCCATGATGCTGTCCAGGTCCTGGTATATCAGTTGAATTCTGCAGTAAAGTCAGGCTGATTTACAGTCATGGCTGCGTAAATATGGGGACTCCAAACCTGACTTCACCCATTTTTGTAATAAAAACACCACCCAACCTCTCGATGACATCCGTCCCAAGGAGCAGCTCAAATCCTAACAATTTGCTCTCCACAACTTGAACATTTATACTGATAGGGTCACAACTGTCTATGTACACTTCCATGCTTGTAACTCCTAGTCTTCTATCTGCAGCAAAAGCAGTATATAGTGTGTCCTTAATTCGTGCTGCATCCGCTTTTTTTTCCTTGGTCAATTGTTTGATACAATGCAAACTCCTTCCAGTCAGTATCAAAGAGGAATTGATGGTCTCAATGAATATTTTTCCTATCTTCATTTTTTTATGTTTCCAATAGAGGTTGTAGGATAGGATTTCCATACCAATTTTTGGGGATTCTTTATGCATTCTAATATTCTACTTTGCCATTAAATCTGTTGAATAAATTTTGAGAGTGCATGGTTGTGGATAGGATCAATGATTTTTTTCCTGTTACCATGCTGAATATCTTGGGGGAGAGTGCTTGTTCAAAAAATTGATATGTCATGAATATTTTTCCTGTTTCTGCTGAATTTTATCTTGGGGAGAGTTGTTGAATTGTGGATATTGGGGGAGAGTGCTTGATGGTTGTGGATAGGATCAATGAATATTTTTCCTGTTTCTGTTGAATATCTTGGGGAGAGCAATGAATATTTTTCTGATGGAATTTTGGATAGGATCAATGAATATTTTTCCTGTTTCTGTTGAATATCTTGGGGAGAGTGCTTGATGGTTGTGGATAGGATCAATGAATATTTTTCCTGTTTCTGTTGAATATCTTGGGGAGAGTGCTTGATGGTTGTGGATAGGATCAATGAATATTTTCCTTCTATCTTTGTTTTGAATGTTTTTTTTTTTTCCTGTTTCTGTTGAATATCTTGGGGAGAGTGCTTGATGGTTGTGGATAGGATCAATGAATATTTTTCCTGTTTCTGTTGAATATCTTTGGGGAGAGAGATGGTTGATGGATTATTTTTCCTGTTTCTGTTGAATATCTTGGGGGAGAGTGCTTGATGGTTGTGGATGGGTCAATGAATATTTTTAACCTTTTTCAATGAATGCTTTGGTTGTGGATAGATCAATGAATGTTTGAATTTTCCTATTGTGGATTTTTTTTTATGTTTCTATTGAATATCTTGGGGAGAGTGCTTGATGGTTGATGGATAGGATCAATGAATATTTTTCCTGTTTCTGTTGAATATCTTGGGGGAGAGTGCTTGATGGTTGTGGATAGGGTCAATGAATATTTTTCCTGTTTCTGTTGAATATCTTGGGGGAGAGTGCTTGATGGTTGTGGATAGGGTCAATGAATATTTTTCCTATCTTTGTTTTTTTATGTTTCTGTTGAATATCTTGGGGGAGAGTGCTTGATGGTTGTGGATAGGATCAATGAATATTTTTCCTGTTTCTGTTGAATATCTTGGGGGAGAGTGGTTGATGGTTGTGGATAGGATCAATGAATATTTTTCCTGTTTCTGTTGAATATCTTGGGGGAGAGTGCTTGATGGTTGTGGATAGGATCAATGAATATTTTTCCTGTTTCTGTTGAATATCTTGGGGAGAGTGGTTTGATGGTTGTGGATATGGTTGTCAATGAATATTTTTCCTATCTTTTGTTTTTTAGTTTATTTTCTGTTTCTGTTGAATATCTTGGGGAGAGTGCTTGATGGTTGTGGATGAGGATCTAATGAATATTTTTAGGATATCTTTTGTTTTTTTTATGTTTCTGTTGAATATCTTGGGGGAGAGTGCTTGATGGTTGTGGATAGGGTCAATGAATATTTTTCCTGTTTCTGTTGAATATCTTGGGAGAGTGCTTGATGGTTGTGGATAGGGTCAATGAATATTTTTCCTGTTTCTGTTGAATATCTTGGGGAGAGTGAATATTTTTCCTGGTTGTGGATAGGGTCAATGAATATTTTTCCTGTTTCTGTTGAATATCTTGGGGAGTGGTTGATGTGCTTGATGGTTGTGGATTGGGTCAATGAATATTTTTCCTGTTTCTGTTGAATATCTTGGGGGAGAGTGCTTGATGGTTGTGGATAGGATCAATGAATATTTTTCCTGTTTCTGTTGAATATCTTGGGGGAGAGTGCTTGATGGTTGTGGATAGGATCAATGAATATTTTTCCTGTTTTCTGGTTATCTTGGGGGTTGTGGATTGAATATTTGGTCAATGAATATTTTTTCCTGTTTCTGTTGAATATCTTGGGGAGAGTGCTTGATGGTTGTGGATAGGATCAATGAATATTTTTCCTGTTTCTGTTGAATATCTTGGGGAGAGTGCTTGATGGTTGTGGATAGGGTCAATGAATATTTTTCCTATTTTTTGTTTTTTCCCAATTTCTGTTGAATATCTTTGGGGATGGAGAGTGCTTGATTGTTGTGGATAGGATCAATGAATATTTTTCCTGTTTTTTTATGTTTCTGTTGAGATATCTTGGGGGGAGAGTGCTTGATGGTTGTGGATAGGATCAATGAATATTTTTCCTATTTTTGTTTTTTTAGGGTCTGTTTTCCTGTTGAATATCTTTGAATATCTTGGGAGAGTGCTTGATGGTTGTGGATAGGATCAATGAATATTTTTCCTGTTTTTTTGTTTCTTGAATATCTTGGGGAGATAGGATGAATTGATGGTTGTGGATAGGATCTATGAATATTTTTCCTATCTTTGTTTTTTTATGTTTCTGTTGAATATCTTGGGGGAAAGTGATTGATGGTTGTGGATAGGGTCAATGAATATTTTTCCTGTTTCTGTTGAATATCTTGGGGGAGAGTGGATAGGATCAATTGATGGTTGTGGATATGGATCAATGAATATTTTTCCTGTTTCTGTTGAATATCTTGGGGAGAGTGCTTGATGGTTGTGGATAGGATCAATGAATATTTTTCCTAGAATATTTTCCTGTTTCTGTTGAATATGTTGGGGAGAGATGGTTGTGGATAGGGTCAATGAATATTTTTCCTGATGGTTGTGGTTGTGGATAGGATCAATGAATATTTTTCCTATATCTTTTTTTTGTGGATATGTTTTTCTGTTGAATATCTTGGGGAGAGTGTTTGATGTTTGTGGATAGGATCAATGAATATTTTTCCTTTCCTTGTTTTTTTTTTGTGGATAGGATCAATGAATATTTTTCCTGTTTTGTTGTTTCCATTTGAATATCTTGGGGGAGAGTGGTTGATGGTTGTGGATATGATCAATGAATATTTTTCCTATCCTTGTTTTTTTTTTTTTTTGTTTCTGTTGCCATTTTTGAACTGAGTTGTGTGTATGTCATTGCTACCAACAATCCACTATCTTTTAGAGGTATCTGGACATTTTGTATGCTCTTTAATTTCAGAAAAGTAAACACAAGTACATATACAAGAAAAATATAATAAAATATAATAAGAAAATTAAACAAAAGTACCGTGTCAGTCTTGTTTAACAAAACATGTATTAAAGAGAGACTGCTGCCTAAATATACAAATATAGAAAATAGATTATAATCAACAAATATTGTAGAAAATATATATGCTTCTGTGAACCATAACCGGTCATAACCAAAATAAGTCAACTGAAAAGAAAATTGTCATGTACAGTGGAAATCGTAGACATTTATCATGATAAAAATTCTATTCACACCATGTTTATACATTAGATTATTAAATTAATGGATGAAATCACTCTTGAATGAACTAAAAGTGTTTTTAATATATAAACCGCTAAACCTGAAACTCATTTGTGTTTTGCATTAGAAAGGCCAAAGGGAATAAATTACGACCAATTTTTCCCTTCACTTAGCAAAGATATTGAGATAAATCTACTTGCAATGAATATTTCCTCAGCAACAAATTGACAGTTGCTATGATGGAAATTTTGTGCTTTGTGTTGATTCTAACAAAAATAATTACAAAATATATAATGTAGCTTTTTGTTTGGTTGTTTGTATCTGATTCAAGCTCCACACCATTAGCTTCTTTTATGCTATGACAATACAAGGTGTTGAGAACTTCTAATGATTTTAGAAATTTATAATTGCTTAGCTAGACATCTTTAATTAGTAGTTTCATTAACATATTTATATTCTATTTATTACTATTTAAGCCAAAAAAAAAAAAGTTTAAGCTGAAATTTAATTTTGTGTTGATGAAAAGAGAAATCATAGAAAGCATCAGTAATGTTATCATTATAATTTGTTTTTACTGCTTACAGTTATGAGACATTAATAACATCATTTGTTTATTCAGTTTTTCAAATATAAATAACTTTTGATCAGGTTTAAGTCATAATTTTTAAAAAATTATATGCTCAAGTCAGTTAAAATAAGATCTAGTGGTACTAAAACTTCTTGTGATTTCACATAAAATCTCATTTTCAAAAATTTCTGTAAAGAAAAATTTTTTCTTTCATTTTTATCTGTACAAATTTGTATACTTATGTTTAGAATTTTAGAAAGAATACTTATTTTGATTTTGATATCAGTTACTTGGAAATGTGTCACTTGTCAAAAACAAAAAAATCCTTTATGCTAATCATTTATAAACATCTGAATAACTGATATTTTTATGTTAGCAATTGTATAACAACCATGAAAGTATGAGAAAGTCTTCAAGCATTAGCAATGGTTTTCATATTATAGAAAATAAATTCCATAGCAAGCCTTTTTAACACCTGTCTCAGTAGATACAGTATAATGTTTATAGTAAAATTATGTTTTGCAAACTTATTTTTCTCATATGTTAGCAATCTAAATAAAACTTGTATTCAATATGGTTTTCATATTAATGTGTACAGTTGATTGAAATGATCATTGTTGATTTCATGAGTAAGAATCAAATTTCTAGTCAGCATTTAAAGCATTTAATATATAGTATTCACAAACAATTTTTTGTTACATGATATAAAGATTTTTTGCAAAGATTCTTTGATTTTGTATTTTTATGAATGTATCTGTTGCAAGTTCATTACCAGTTGGGTAGTTATTAGCCAATAAATAAACCATTGACAATAGATGATCTAAATAATGAACCTGCATGAAATTTATTTGTATGTGTGTGTGTATATATATATATATATATATATATATATATATATATATATATATATATACATGCATGCTACTCAATTAAGTACGTGTGAACAAATGCTTTTTATGCAAATTTGTAATCAATAATCACATGGCAGCATTTTTAGGTATTTAAACATATTTCATGGCAACTTACTGAATTTCATTTTATACATTAGTATAGGAGGATAGATGATTTAAGCAATTTTGAACATGGCATAGTCATTGGTGTCAGATGGATGAGTGAGTATTTATAAAACTGTTGATCTATAAAAGATTTCCATGCCCAACCATCTCTCAGATTTACAGAGAATGGTTGGAAAAAAATCCAGTGTGTGGAAAGAAGTCACAGTAGAATTGCCAAACTAGTTCAAACTGATAAAAAGACAACAGTAGCTTAAATAACAACAGTGGTATACAGGAGAGAATCTTTGAATGTACAACACTTGACGGAGCTACAGCAGCAGAGAAGAATAAGACACTGCGGTTACAATTTAATGGGGATCACAAAAATTGGACAAACGAAAGTTGGAGAAACAGAGCCTAATTTGATAAGTCTTGATTTCTACTGCAACATTCAGATGGTAGTGACAGCATTTGGCATGAACAGCATGAAAGTCATGGATCCATCCAGCCTTGTATCAGTGGTTCGGGTGGTATTGGGAATATTTTCTTTGCATACATTGGTATCCCTGATACCAATAAAAGATTATTTAAATGCTGCAGTCTACCTTGTTATTATGGCCGATCACAAAACAAAATTTTTAAGATTCCTCCTAGAATATTGTTGAATTGATGCCAAAAAGAAATTAGATGGTTCTAAAGGCAAAAGGGATTCCAACCAGGTACTAGAATAGTATTACCTCTTAAAGTGACTGGTATTAATTTGATATCTGTTTTGAAATTTGAGTTACTTAGATTATCGACAATATTAAAATTATTCCATTTTTTAAATTAATACTGTTCTCTTTTTATTTATTTTAATAAATTTTTGTTTCAGGTGAAACAGATCAGTGAAGAAGCTGTTACGAGGAAATTTGTCCATGAAGAGAGTAGCAGTATCACATCTTTATGTGGTGAGTACCTTTCTTTATCATTCTTTTCTATATATTTGTCTTTTTCTGCTATATTGTCAAAATATTTGTCCATGAGAAATACACTTTTTTTTTCTATTTAAAATCATGAAAAATTAACTCTCTTTATTGGTAAGAAACATTACTTGTAGATTTTTAAGCATGTATTTCTGTGGCTCATTCTAATTCTTGACTTTTTCTAAATTTTTTTTTTTTTTTTCATTTATTTGTTTTAAAAAATGTCTTCATTTGGACCTCATTTTTTTTTTTCTTTCTTTTTAATTTTCTGTTGCTCATTAAGAGAGAAATATATCTGAATTTCTCTAGATTTCTAAATTTTCCAATTGCCAACCAATTAATTAGAGAAAAAAACATTAAAGCAGAATGTGGGATTGTTTCAACTGGAGCCCATCTCATCATGTTTGGAATAATTAGCAAAATAATTTTTACCACACTGCTATGTTAGCAATGAAAAACCATTATGGGCCAGATATAGTAATTGGCCTAAAGATTTGAATGTTCATGGTTTCTTGTTCAGCATTTTATTAACAAAATACAGTATTTTTGTAGGTTTTTGTAATACAGATGTTTAGAATGTTCAATTTTTTGAGATATTTTCATTATTTGTCATATTTATTTTTTACTTTTGTATTCATCTGTAATTTTAAACATGACATTTTGATCTTCTTAAGGTGTATATTGCATTTAGTGATCTTTAAGAGTTATTTTGTCCACTCAATTGATAAAATAAATATAACCTAAATATTGTAATCTTCTGTAAGGACAAGCATCAACTCCATGAGGTTTAAGATTACTTTGCTCATTAGACACATGGTAATTTATATAGATGTTAGAAAAAAGGATAAGTCATATTTAGTGTAATTATCGTTATGATAAACCAACTTTCATGTATGGATAATAAATGCCTACATTACTTTTAAAAAGTTGAATCTTCTTTTACATTAATCAAATGGCCTCTTTGTGAATAATCATAGCCTCAACATATGGCATAACAATAATGAGTAATGTCGATGGTGGTGCCCCCGACCATCTTAGTTTTTTCAACCAGTTTTTAAACTATGTTTATTTATTTAGCAAAGCTTAGATTTTCCAAGAGGTCACAAGTATGAGGCACTCAGTGAGGATCAAATTCACCAATCTTTAAAGCATAACCATTCATTTTAAAAATCACTAAATAGCTCTTGTGGCAATTATGCAAATTTTAATAAAAATATAAACCACTAACCTAGGAAACTGCCATGGTGACAATCTCATTTTAACAATTAAAATCACAATGTCAAAGGAAAAATACAAAAAATATGCAGTAGAGATTTAATATCAAGTAATCATTTCCTGTTAGATAATGTTTTAATGAAATTCATAAATTCGATATTTATTAACTTATGGCTTCATATCACTACTGAATAATAATATCACATTAATTGGTTTTCTTTTAAAAAGTCTAAAACCATTCTCATAACATTAGATGTGATTACTCTGAGCTAATCAATAAAATCATTTAACAGTTGTGCAACAATGTCAGTCTCATCATAGCTAATTATATCATATTTGACATTAACATTTTTTAATAGTATTCGTAGTAACATTTTTCTCAACACTAGTTCTTGATTTTATTTTAACTTGATTAAAACATAATAAATCTGATTTGAATTTCTAATTTGACTTCATTAGATGATATTTTCTTATTTTCAAAAATTATTTTTACTGTCCGTCAGATAAGTTATAAAAGACATTGTTTGGTAGTGTCTTTTAAATGTGGAATTGATTTGTATTTGTTCTGGATTTAATTTTCTTTTTTATTAAGAATAAAAATAAATAAAATATATATAAAAAAAAAACAAAAAAGGATCTAGTTTTTAATGACTTGTGCATTAGAGTCAAAATTATTGGTGGCATCATAAAGAAAACAAAAGAGTGCTTCCAATGCACTTCAAACAGATTGTTTAGTCTACTTGTATACAGAGAAGGGCACGTGTACATGTGTGTGCTTTTCTCTGCTGCCACTCCTACCACCACTTATTGATTTGTCCTCATCTTCATGTTGTGGGCGTAAGGATGTTATTTGCGTCAGCATTGATGACTGCTGCTGATGCTGCTATGACATTTGTGGCCAGTTAGTATATACATGGTGACAAGCAAAACTTTATTTTCTCTTTCAGGTCTCCAGATGTACCAGATAATGTTTATATTATTGACTGTCTAAGCAGAAAGAAACCATAGACTATTAACGAATGGCACCATCTATTTTATGTTCATTATTAGGCAATCCATTTAGATTATTATCTCTCTGTGTTTGTTATTCACTATTTTTTTTTTTATCTTTGAACAACTTTTAATATGCTAGCATTTACACTGTATAAATCTAACATTTACAGGTGCTTATCAATAGCTGCTATTTGTGTTGTACTTATTTCGCATATTGAGTTGGGCAAGAACTTGTAGATGATAAACTCCAGCTGGTAAATAGTTAAAGAATAATAGTAAATTCTATAAGGAAATTGATTTGGCATTTTTCAAGTGAAAATAGCTTTTAGAATCCTTGTGATTTACATATCAAGAACATCAAAATCAGGCAGGCATGAAAATTTGACCATCTGGATAGAGTATAGTAACAGATGCTAGAAAATGTGACCAAAATCTGTAGGCGCAAAAAAATAGGTAAAGATACCTTTCAAAAACGAAGCAAAGTATTAAGGGATCAAAAAATGTTCTTAGCAACAAAAATGTACTGAACTGCTATATAAAATCTATTATTCTGTATGATAGTGACAATTTCCTCACAGATGAAGAGACTTGAAGTGATAGAAATGTGGTTCTACTTACAAATATTAGAATGAACAGAAAACAATGTAAGAAACATTTTTTTAAGAAGAATAGGAACTACAAAGAAAGAGCTTAAATTTTTGAAAGAAAATTTGGAGAATTTAACACTGACAGGACACATTGAAGGCAAGAGAAGCAGGAAGAAATGGCAAATAACTTAATTGAGAAGTTTGAGTAGGTGAATTACAAAATAATAACCACAAGAGAGAGGGACCAGTAAAGAAACATCAATTACAAAAATACAAGAAGTTGTGAAGAGCATTGATTGTCTGTATCCTGAAAGGACATAGCACATAGGAACATGTTAATCTTTGATGTTAACAACAAAGTTTTATCTTGACTGAAATGGAATAATAACGATACATGTACATTTCATATTTATTCTATTTAATTTGTATGAGATGTAACTGCTTATTGTATTTCATTAAAAAGATGTTTACGATTTTATTACTCAGGCTGTTTTATTGTGACAGTTGTAGAATAAATTGATAAAAAAACATTATCTTTTCATGTGAACATATTAAATGATTGATAGAACTTTTATTGTAATGTCTGTGTGCACACTTGTAATTATCACAATTCTATCTTTAATTATTTCTGACACTGACCATCAAAATTGCTAATTATAAAGAAAAGAACTGTTAGATTATTGTTCACTTAACTATATGAATTTATGCTCCTAATACAGAATCATGTCATAAATAGGCTTCCTCTTATGCTTGAAAGCTACAGATGCTATTTTCTTTTCTCTTGTAAGTTTCAGATATATTTTTGATAATTGTGTTCTTGGCACAGTAAAAAAAATATCTAGATATACTGGTGCTCTATTTGAAAAGCTTGTGGTTTTTCATATCCTTTTTACAAAAGTTGTTCTTCTCTTGAATTGAAATCCAGTGACATAATGCATCATCTTAAGTATAATATCAAATGCTCTTCTCTTTCCATTGGACTAAGTATGTCACTTGGTCAACCCAGGGTGAATCTTTTGGTCATGGACACCAATTATGTCACACAGAGCCAATCCTGGTCTACAGCAACCAATTATGACTCTTCTCACCAGTCAAATCTGGATCAATTCTTATGCTGGTCTATACTGCCATTGGTCGTTGAAGTTGGCTGTTCTAATCTCTACTTCACATTGTGTTTTTTTTTTTTATCACAGAGCTGACAAAGACTGAGTTGTCATCGGCAATTGTAGTGCTGCTTCAATTACAGCAATGCCATGTCACAAAGGAAAAATAAAAACTGTTCTTAACAAATGAAATAATAAAAAAAAACAAAAAAAAAACAGGAATTTCTTCAGGGTCTATTTTCTATGTGGTTTATATCGTTCTTTGTATAGAAATATTAACCCTTCCCACTTTGAATTCTATTGTGACACTTTGCTCAATTTAGCTAAGTCTGGAACAAAGCTTAAGTTGGGAGTTCTCAGCAGGTCACGTGGGATTTAGCAGCACCTCCTGCTGTCTGGTCTTGTCTGCATCTCTGGCTGGCAACTGGGTCACTTCAATGTTCTGCTTATATTGACTTTTACCCAAGGTTGACATGAGGCTGACGTGTTTTAGGGACCAAGTGTTTCCCCTGTCTTCTAACAAGAGTTCTTTGTTGTCTAGCTTTGGAAAATTAATTATCTCTCCAAATTTGGGAGATCCACTTTTCTTATGGGCAGTGGTCACAGGTACTGGTTCACCCCCAATAACTCCTTTCTCTTATTTGTGCCTCACACTCTCCCTTTTCAATGGGTATAGGCAATTTCTTCATTTTTCTTGGTGTCTCTCCTATGCCTTTCACCTCTGCTGTCATTTTGTCAAATCTGACTTTTAAACCTCATAGGCAAAAGGGTTGAATCATTAATTATCATTTGAATTTTTATGTAAGAAAATTTCCCCCTGCCTGGTCTTGTTCATAAAATCAGAAATTTACCAGCTGTTTCCCCCAGCAGCTATCCCCCATATCTTGTTAGCTCAATCACACTTTAAGAACCTTGGGCTCAGTCTTTACATAAAAAAATTCTATTTCTCGACTTGTTTACAATTTCCACTTTTTGATAGGTGGAATAAATAATTTTTCAATTCTGCCTTGTCTTTAAAAATTAGCAAGTATTATCTTTTCAATTGACTTTCTTTTCTGGGTGGTCCTTGAAGATGTTCTCATAACTT